CAGTGGTTGAAGAGGGCATTTTAAAGAATTATTTTCAATAAGGCACACAACATATTTCGTGTTATATGTTCGGCTCTGATACGTCACATACTTGAAGCTAACTTCTGTTAAATTTGGACGGTTAGTGAATCTCGCCACCGTGCTTTGTACGTAAGTTCCGCGTTTAGGATGTTTAAAAAGTTTAGCGAACAAATATTGTTTATCTAGTTCCATGTTGTATGCACGTTAAACCAATTCATTCATCAATCTAGACGATCTCTGGTCAAATATACTTAGTTAAGACACAGCCTAGATTAATGGATAATTGATAAGAGTAGATACACGGTATTAAGAATAGAAAATTACTGAATTGCTATGTGCGTTGTGGATTTCTTTTAATTTGCAGCTGCAAGAACTGGTTCTTTGCGCTTTCGCTTCCCTTTACGCTTGTCAACATGTCAGCTAATAGCTGGATTTTTGTGATGCACAAGAGTGCCAACACGCAAAGTGTAAGTATTAAGAACAATAATGGGAATAAAACCACATCTCAGTACTCAGGTGACCGATTTGCTTAAACTGGTAGTCCAGATTGTCTTCAGTTCAGCCATCTTGATATAGAATATGGTGGCAAAACTTTCGATTTTACTAAAACACTCGGTTGTAGCCTTTGTTTCGAAATACAGCTTAACTGATTCTTCAAAATTCCATTAACTGGGACCTGTTTCCCCATTATAATTCTTTTCATAGTGTGTCCATTTCCTATGGCAATCCGCTGGAATTTGGGATAATCTCACGGTTTCCCACATTGTACGAGCACTCCATGTATAAAAAAATGGTTGCCCTGGTTGTCAGTAGGGAAATCAGCCTCTTGGCTTCTGATGTAACGCGACTTTCATCATGCGGCGTCATAACTCATCTAAATGATAACCTTTTGACTCGCAGGGTAGGGTTTAAGTGGATTGAATAACGTTTTCTGTTTAGCGTTTTTTTTAGCGAGTTAGTTTTCTACGGGATAGGGTTGCTAACCTCATGCCCAACCTTCCTCCTTTATCTGGACTTTGGACCGACAGTAGCCCCGGAGGGTGGCTTACCTGAAATTTCTTCACTGAATAGTTTGAGTTCACCTTTATAATAAGTATACATTGATATCTCTCATTGCAAAAATTTAAACCAAAGTTTTATCAACTAATATTTTTGTTGTTCCTGCTGCATCTTATTCTTCTTTCTTTCAGCGCTACGAATGCTATAGACAATGATGGAATTTAGGGTAGATTTGCGTCTGACAAGGCTACAGTTTCTATGATATACCATGTTTAGACAGATAATAACAAATGTGGATCCGTAAAACAGTACCAACACAAACCCGTTTATTGACATGTTGTTCTATCTGTATAGATATTTGGATACAAATTTACACTCACTTTATCTATTTAGTGACCCCGAGTAATATCTAATCTGTAGACTCATACTGTAAATTAATAATGATGCTTGCACAAATGCCGTGTACCTGCTATGGATAATTATCATTCGCGCCATTGATATTACTATGTAAGCGCCTGTAGTGGCTGTGCTTCGAACCGTTATCGTACAACCTTCAACGGTGTTTGAAATCAGAAGGTAAAAAGAAGCAGCTACTACAGCTTATTTAACAGGTAATTCGGACCACACAGCAGAGAAGCAAAACGAATGAGTAAGCGAACTACGGTTGTAGCAGTAGCAGTAGTAGTGGTATAAATGATATATATATATATATATATATATATATATATATATATATATAGGGAAATGGATGAGTCATCGAATAGATTAAGCAGCTAATAATGAATCTAGCAGAATGAATATATGCGTAGGCGCTAAACAATGTTCAAGCATACGTATTTCATACAGGCACAATAATAATAAAAATACAACAAGTTATTATAGCATGGATGACTTTGTCCATTAAATAGGTTAGAAAGAGACCTTGACTGAGCTAAATGAGAATAAACTCAGTTGCACGTAAGTCGCTATACGCCTTTGCCATTGTTCTTCTCTTTTACAACGTATCAACCTGAGCTACTGATTACAGTAAATCCTTCAGCAATTGTAACATTTTAATCTTATTTCAGCAACTGGATGCATTAAATAGGGAACTTTTCCGAAAACAGAGTGTTTCATTGGTAGGCGCCGTGGTACCTAAAGTTGCCACAGATATTCGGAGTTTGACAATTCTTTAGTCGAAGGATATAGATTCAGTCAAGCCAGAAATCAGGAATGAATGAGTTCGAAGATATAGTTGGAAAGTTGTCGATGTGCTGAGAAGCATCTTACCTAAGCTATCAAGTAGTCGAAACGGGTGAGTAGCATGGCGTACACACACGTGATATGATGCCTTCAGTTAGGATGTGTTTAGTAAAACTAATGAGGCCAGCATCAATGTTGAAGACTGCCTGTCATTGAGATTTATTTACCACCACATACCTTTGTTACTCAAACGCAAGAACCCTGAATCTCAGTGTAGCATATCTGAGCTTGCACTCACGATATACTAGTACACCAGGTGATCGTTATCAGATGAAAATACCTATGGCTTTATGGAACGTAAGCGATTACAAACAGAAAAGACAGGAGCGCAAAACGGGCAGAGAAACACTCCAATATAAATTATAACAATGTATTAGTAGAAGCGGCATTATTCACAACATAACCTTGACACAACATAATGAAAAGCCAACCTAATATAGCTCACACTGTCTAAAACGAACGACGCAAATGCAGTTAAAAGTAACTGAAACTCGAACGAAACTCCAAGCTCACGAAATGCAGAACATATCGCAAAATCCATAATGCCCTACAGCGATCTCGTTAATATTGCACATCCTGCCATTAATGCGCGGATCTGGTTGGTTGCACACGTGAACGGATGGAACATTTAATATAGTCCAACTCCTCATGGACTGGCTGTGCCTGATTCGAATCTCGTAACTAACGTATGCTATCATTGCCACATACCATAACCTTACTCTTATTTCACCTATTATCATCTCCTTTTCTTCACTTATTCCTACACTTCGGTTTTCCCACACCGTTTGCATTATTAATAAATCATCTCGTTCGTTAAATTATTGTTTGAAGTAATTTACTGCTTATTGTTTTTCACTCTGCACCCAACCGGCATACTGCTTGATAATCTGATACCTGCTTGCTCCGAAAATTTTATTGGTGTGAGTAAGGCGCAAACCGTCAAATTGCAAAACATACAAATCCTAAAATAACTTCGGAAACGACTAAAATTCGTGCAGTGGAGTAAGTAGGTTACCACACCTTGAACATTAATAAGCATAATGAGCCGTGCCAAAACTTAAGGAATTGATAAAAAGGAAACTAATCAATTCATGCAAACTAGTCACATCGAAGCTGTATATATTTCACATTTGATTTTGCTGTTCGCAGTGCGGTCAATTTGAGTAGGGCGTTGCGACTTGCTCATGGTGAGTTTATCTTCATATGTAATTAGGCTGAACTCTATGGTTCATTCTTTCGTAGCGCGTTTAGCTCGTTTGTCAAGGGCCCTACTTATCTTTAGCATTCTGTCATCAGGGAGTTTGTGTTCATTGTGTTCCAACCACTGCAAATTTAAAGGAAGGTTTTCATTGCATTACAAGGTTAAAAAGACAATTTTGCTATAGCCACAGAAAACAATTACTCTTCTCGCTGCTGATTTTGCTCGCGAAATGAATTTTCAAGGTTTTATTCCACTCACTTATGTTCGAAATGTACATTTAACTCATGTCATTTTTAATGCCTTACGTGACGTTAATTTATGTGTTCACACCGTTTAATGACCGGAAGTTCATTTTCTGAATAATTATTCCAACGCGTCACCCATTTCGCCTCTGAAATCTTTGAGTATAACTATCTTGAAATAAACCCAAAGAAGCATAGAAAACTTGCTCGAAAGCCTTCAATCTAAATTGATTTCTGATAGATGGGTATTGATAGATCTTAGGATAATGAAATTCGACTAAATCTTGAGAACTTTTAGAACATTGTCATCACATGTACTTTATTTTCACATGTTTTTTGAGACTATAAATCCTCAATTTTTACTACCATCAATATTTTAAAATTGTTTAACCCCGGAATCACAGTTTCATTTGCCGTCAAGGGTTTTTCCCAGATGGGGATACTGAACCAAGTTTGGTTCCGAAGTTCCTGGAGGCTTTATTTCATTCTGAAACTTTCAAGCCATCTTGGGATCATTCGAACCGTAATTGGGTGTAAACAATTATAGTTTAGACAATTTCATAGTTGACAGGATCGCGCTTGACAATGTGGCATAAATGTTTCAAGGTTTACAGGGATTATATTTTCTGATAGCCCCTCAAAATTGCTCTCTAACGGAATTATAAAGATGTAATGTCTAAATAGTGATGGTCGCATGGTATCTTTAATCTTTGCGTCCAAACTCTGTCTATGCGTTATTTCATTGCTCTGGCATTCTGGGAGCTATTTAGATTTAACATCACAGTCATTTTTTTCTGTTTCCTAGTGTCATCATTCTGGGTTTTAGGTTTGCTGCCGATGTACAAGTAGATAAATGTGTCTACAGCATTTCAAGTATCTTACGTTCAAATCATATCGTGTTCACTGTTCAGCCACAATTTTACTGTAGGACCGGTTTTGAATTCAACCAAACGTTACTGCATTAATTTGCTGAAGATTTAGGAACACGAGTAATTTCACAGAAAAAATTATTTTAAAAACTGGTGTTTGAAGAGTAGTATCTCTTTTAATTCTTCATTTGTGAGCAAAGCGAGAATATAAATTTTTAAATGCTTAAAAAGGTAATTAGTCGGTACAGAGTTCTTTGTACGGACGTCTATGGTATTCACAATTGCTGCTTATGAAATTGTCAAGATTACTTAACCCGACATTTACTCTTGTTTTTTATCTCTTAGGTAGTTGTCATTTTCCGCTGAGCTCCGTCTACTTGAATTAGTCTTTCTCACATAGTAAGTACTTTTACTAGTAAACAAGAAATGGATGGAATCGTCACATATGAATCCTCTTCCTCTGATGATGAAATTCCCAAACAAGATACTGCTCCAACACAACTTTTAAAAAGTAGTTTAATTAAATCCATCGATGTTGCGCCAGTTGTGGAGCACAAGGTAATGTGTATGAATGATAATGTGATTGGTTTTATTTTTAGGATGAGTTTCTATCTCTTGTGCCTGTTGATCCACAATCTCATGAACTTATTCATAATCCTACTTATGAAGAATTATTCGCACCATCTGTAAGTGTTTCTTTTCGATGTAACTTACCTTTATCAGTTCGGTCCAGTCAATCCGTTTAAGTCTGAAAAACAATTGGCTCCTAAAAATACTTTAACTGGATATGTTGAAGAGGCTCACGTTAATAAGTTTGCTTTTGAAAACCAGCATAGGACTTTTATGACGTATGGTGAGTTTATGGTAAATTAATTTCTATTTATTTATAATAGGTTACGCAGAAGATCCTTCTGTTGAAGGAGGTGCTGATCGACGTTTAGTTGGAGAGACAGAAAGCATGACAGAAAATGAAGGTGAGGTTGGTTTGAATATTTGTACATATCCTTTCTTCAAATATTCATTGACTTATCCTACAAACACCAGTATTAAATGTCTTTGAAGTCCTGACCTGTTAGACTGTGACGTGTTTTCAGGCTCACTGTCTGAATAAGGTCTTCGGAATCGTTGTGAATAATGGTTAGAGACGTTGGATTGCATGACTCACAATTAATCAGTGGTGAAAATGCACTCACTCGTTTCCTTCCCGTGAGTCCTGGGTTTTGTCCCACAAATTCACTCGCTATTGGGTTGTATTTCGTATACATTTCTTATTACCACTGCTATTATTACTACTTATTATAACTGCATCTTAGAAATTCACCTTGTACTGATGACAATTTGAACTGATAAACGTTTCAGGTTCTATATTGCTTGTAGCTAATAGACTAATAAAGTCCTCTTACACACAAATTCACTAAATACGATATAATGCCGAGTACACGTACTTGTTCTAAGTGCTTTTTATTTGTCTTTTCCAAACCTAAGTATAGTTTAAACTTAAGAGTTGTCTTGCGTTGAACGTTTTTATTGTTTTCACCAAAAAAATGTTTCTTGTCACATCTTTTTTTCTAGGAAAAACTGCATTCGAAAAGCGCCAGAAACGAAAAGGTGATCTACGTAAACGTGATAGTAATTGGGATCCAACGAGTGAAGATTATACTGGACCATGGGCTAAATATAAAGATGAAGTAACTGTTTCGGTTCCTTCTGAAGAGGATCGTGTTTATTTGGAAGCGTATTTAGCAAAGAAAGCTAGCAAAAGAAAAGTTGTCGAAGAAGCTCCAATTGAAGAAAAATCTACACTGCATATACCAACACCATATGATTATCAGGTTAGCTAACTTTTGTCCAATAGATTTGTGGAGTATAGTGGCACAGTATTGAAAATGTTTAGCTCTCAGCAAATAAGTTGCGAGTTTAAACCCAGTTACACCTACTTAGGAAATGAAAAGATAATATGTTTTGTTACAAATTGACCATATTAGGAGAGAATTAAGTATAAAGGCAGAATGAGCAATCGTTTTATAGTTTGTGATTCCTCAGACGTACTCACCCACTGCCTAATTCGTCACAGGTTAAACTGATACATTTCCTACGTAGTGTTTGAATTATTGGTAACTGTTATGCACTATATAAAATAATAATGTGATTTGAGGCACTGAGCACAATGTTCATGTTTGTACCTTGTTCTCAGTCAGTCATCCGACCGTTGTTGCTACCTTGACGTGGTGGTCGGGCTTGCCTATCGTGATGAAGCAACCGAGCTATACTGGCTGGAACAACCGTTCCTCAAGGTCCTACCATGTCAGACAGGTCGGTTGAAGAGCGGTAAGACTAAAAGCAACAAACCCAAGGTCCGAAGGCGAAGTCGTACTGCTGACTGTACAGAGGTGTGACAGCAGTAAGGTGTTTCCTTCAGACAACCAGCATGACAGCGATGCTGCCTTCCCACAAGGAGGGGTGGGGTTAGAAAAGGTCGACCCTAAAAATGCACACCTCACCTCACGGATTTCCGTCTCCGGCGGTAAGGCCCTTTGAAGAACGGAGCTAACACGTCAAAAACCCCCACGAAAAGGCCGTGCGCGACCGGCCTCAAGCAGTTGTCCCTTGGGCACTGCGGTCACGCTCTCAGGTCACTGAGACCACCTCTAATCCAATTTCCTTTTCAGGTACCTCCAGAAGAACCCTTCCACGGTGTGGGCAACCGGGAAGTGATAACCGCCCTCATACCTCTAACAGCACTCAAGACCACTGTATTCATAATCAACCTTCCTCTTCAATTCCTATTATTCCTCCTACATCGACTTTCAACTCTAAACTTCCTCTTTCGGCTTCCTCCTCAAGTGTCACCATAGCCAACGATTCTAGTGCTCAAAACCTGTCCCAGGTCTACTGAAACCTCGCTCCAAACTACACATTGGAGCCTTCAACGTACGCACCCTATGTCAAATCGGTCAGCAGGCTTCCTTGGCTAAAACCCTAGAGTCTCTTTCCATTGATGTATGCTGTGTCTCCGAAACACGCATACAGGATTCCAGTGTGGTCATTCACTTGACCTCACCTCGGCAAACGGAGAGCCAACGAGATACACCCTTCGTGTATCTGGTGACCCGATGGCCAGTTCTCGTGGACTGGCAGGTGTAGGCATAGCACTAAGCATGAGGGCCGAACAAGCACTGCTAGAGTGGATCCCCGTCAACAGTCGTCTATGTGCTGTTCGGCTGAACGGCTACGTAAGAACTCGGAAGGATAGGGACACACGTCGTTGCCTTTTTGTCGTTTCTGCCTACGCTCCCACTGACTGCAGCTCAGATGAAGTGAAAGATGAATTTTACAGAAAGCTTCTGAACTTCTTCAGAAAGCTAAACGCTCAGACATAGTACTCGTAGCAGGTGATTTTAATGCTCAGATAGGCAGTTTAAACCAAACAGAAAGGCATTTAGGTGGATATTTTAGTATTCCGACACAGCGAACAGATAATGGTGATCGTCTGCTGCAGCTATGCTCAGACAATCGTTTATTTTTAGCAAACACAAATTTTAAGCATAAGGAGAGACATCGTCTAACATGGCGACCCCCTACACCAAACCAACGATGGACTCAAATAGACCATATTGCCATCAGTCATCGTTGGAGAGGGTCGGTAGAAGATTGTCGCTCATTCTGGAGTACCTGCTTGGACTCCGACCATGCCCTAATACGGGCACGCATCTGCTTGCGCCTCACTGGACGCAAAAAAGCCACATTAAAAAGACCCATTAGAACTGAGTTGAGTAACGAGAAAACCAAAAGTAGGTTCCAGGAACAACTGAGGTCACACTTAGGTAGTTGTGAAGACGAGGCTGACCCAGATGTTGCTTGGAAGGCATACAATCAGCTGTGGAAACAGCAGTGACATCTATTAGTGACTTAAACCACAGAGTTACAAGGAACCAGTGGATTTCTTCAAGGTCTGTCACACTGATGGATTCTCGCAAACTCGTCCCATCAGGTTCTGAACATGATGAAGAGCGTAAACAAATCAGATCTAGGTTAAGAAAAAGTCTAAGGAACGACCGTGAGCAGTGGTGGGCAACGAAAGCAAAAGAGATGGAAAAGGCGGCGACTATAGGGAACACAAGACAGCTTTACAGACTAATAAAAGAAACTGGAATTAATAAGTCAAGTGTAAGTGAGATTATTTCGGAAAAAGACGATACCCTCATCTGCTCCCAGTCCAGACGTTTAGAACGATGGGCGGAACATTTTAGAGAACAGTTCAGCTGGCCTTCAGCTACTCTACAACTACCCTCCATTCCCAGACAGTGTGAATGGAACATTGAAGTAGGTCCCCCAACTCTTGCTGAAGTTCAAAAGGCTATAGTTAATCTGAAACGAGGAAGGGCAGCTGGTCCAGATGGATTGGCTCCAGAGGTCTTTAAGGATGGTGGTCCAATTTTAGCGATTAGGTTGACTAATATTTTAGCTAAGATCTGGGAGTTAGACGTTATCTCTGACTGGTCGCAATCACTTATCGTCCCAATATATAAGAAAGGGTCAAAATCATCCTGTGACAACCACAGAGGGATTAGTTTAACTAATATAATATCTAAAATACTGGCCTCGATAATTATCAAACGCCTAACTAAGACTCGTGAACTACAAACACGAGAGAACCAAGCTGGCTTTAGACCTGGTCGTGGCTGCATCGACCACATATTCACCATTCGTCAGGTTCTAGAACACAGGCATACTTATCGGCGTCCGACGATGGTGGTCTTTCTTGACTTAAAAGCAGCATTTGACTCTGTAGACCGCGAGACTCTGTGGCAGTGTCTGTCATTGAAAGGCGTACCTCAGAAGTACATAAACCTTGTGAAGGCTCTTTACTCGAACAGTACTAGTCGAGTGAGAGCTTATGGCGAACTGTCATCTACTTTTGCAACCTCAAGTGGTGTCCGTCAAGGCTGTCCACTTTCTCCATTTTTGTTTAACTTCATCATAGACCTATTGATGGAAATAACATTCTCGTCGACTGAATTCTCGGGTATTGATCTCCTTCCAGGAGGTCCACTTATCGACTTAGAATATGCAGATGACATAGTCCTGTTTGGTGAAGACGCTGACAAAATGCAGAGTCTTCTGGTAGCACTAAGCAACAATGCCAGAATGTTTGGGATGCGCTTCTCTCCCTCTAAATGCAAGTTGTTGCTTCAGGACTGGTCTGCGTCAACACCTGAACTAAGGATAGGGAGTGAAGTAGTCGAACGCGTTGACAACTTCACTTATCTTGGAAGTCTGATCAGCCCTAATGGGTTGGTGTCTGACGAAATCTCAGCACGGATTCGAAAAGCTCGTTTGGCTTTTGCCAACTTACGTCACCTTTGGCGAAGGCGAGATATCCGTCTATCAATAAAAGGACGAGTATACTGCGCGGCAGTCCGTTCTGTTTTACTTTACGGCAGCGAAACATGGCCTTAAGAGTAGAAGACACCCGTAAGCTACTAGTATTTGACCACAGATGCCTTAGAAATATTGCTGGCATCTGCTGGGATCACCGGGTAAGTAATAGTGAGGTTAGACGCAGGGTATTAGGGAATGATGGTAAATCAGTTGATGAGGTTGTGAATCTTCATCGACTGAGATGGTTGGGCCACGTGTACGTATGCCTGAACACCGATTACCACGACGTGCAATGCTAACCGGTGTAGGGGATGGTTGGAAGAAAGTTAGGGGCGGCCAAACCAAAACGTGGCATCAGTGCTTGAAGTCACTAACTTCTAGTCTGAGCCATGTTGGTAGATGCAGACTACTTGGTTGGGGTCCGCGTGACTTTCGTAACCAATGGTTGGAGACTCTTGGTGACATGGCTCAGAATCGATCACAATGGCGTCGGTGTATACACTCCCTGTCTTCCCTTAAACTAAGAGATTAAAATCACTTCATATCTTTCTTTCTACGAACTAATTCTTTCTTCCTGTACTATATCCTCATATGCAATCTTTCTCTTATATATTACCACCTTTGACCTAACCACTGCTATGAATCCGGTGTTCATCTTGTTGTGCGAATGCGGTATGGCAACCTGGACCGATGTATATATGTGCCTGGTCCTACGTTGTAGCTGACTGACTGACGATCCACAATGTAGGAGCAGACACGTATGTGCATCGGTCCAAGTTGCCACACCTCACTAGCACAAAAAGATAAACACCCCACTCCTAGAAGCAGTTAATTCAATGGTAGTAATATATAAAATATTTCATATATATATATATATATATATATATATATATATAATATATATATATATATATATATATATATATATATATAATGTATTTCATGTCAAGCAGTACTTGTGTTTCCAACATCCTTACCACTATTGATCCTTTAGTCGGCAAAAAAGTAGATTACAAAAGTGCTAGAAAGCTGCTCAATGAAGTCGTTGGCTTTGAGACTAATCCGTGTCATCGGCAAGTTTGTTGACTTCCTAGTTAAAATCTTCATGATGATTTATCGGTTTTTCGACCTTAGATGGTAAAATGACTGCAGAAATCAATTGCACTGTCACAAATATACATTTTTTTGACTTATATTCCTTTGAATCTTAAGTTCTAATGTTATTTTATTAAATCCTATCGTAATCATCAGCCTTATGTTTTCGATAAATTTTGTTTCACTTTTAATATAATATCCCCGCTTGTAAAAACAAAAGGCAATATGGAGTAGATGCATTCAAAGTTACATTCTGTAATTTGTAATGTGAATTTTATTAGTTTTCTATATATTGTGTTATCTTTATCCTAACTGATGTTAATGTTGATAGGGTAGAAGTTTCTTGCATGCACCACATGATATACCGAATGTGAATTTACGAGCAACTGATCCACCAGAAAGATGCTTTTTACCTAAAAGACAAATTCATGAATGGATTAGTGCACACGCACGTGGTGTTGCAGCAATTCGCCTGTTCCCTCATACTGGTCATTTAATGTTATCTGCTGGAATGGATTCAAAGATTAAGGTGGATAATTTATTTTCGAGATGTTTTTTTAAACCAGTTTTAATGGTAAATTTTTATATTGAACTACTATCTTTCACCATGTTTAGGTCTCTCAGTAAGTAAGATACCTTCGGCATCCTTTGATATCTACATTTCAAACTCAGTTAATTTATGATAGAACCAGATCCTATCACATATTGTTCGTGGATAATCATTTTGTCAATATGGGGCAGTGACTCAGATGTTAGACTACTCGATATTCAACCTCTAAGTCTCAGGTTTGAACCCCGTTCTACGTGCTTCGATTTGATCAACTAGGTAGTATCACTAGTCTTTGCATTTAGAGCAAAGCTTAGGATTATGTACACATAAGTCTGTGTGCCTGGTAAGTGAATATTTATTCATTATCGATTTGGCTGGCTTCACGCTAGTAATGTAAAAGAATTCGATTCTAAACAAGCAATTAGTTTAAACAAATTGATATTATTTACTAGCAGGATGATTTGTAATAAAAAGCCAACAACACTATTCTTAATGAATAAATTCGCTTTAATGAAGGAATTTCGTAGAAATCTGTTTAGTTTACGTAGAACATACTCTACTGATTGATCAATAAGATGTTAGCTCTTGTAGTTCTACGTAAAGTCAAAACACCACAAAAGATATTTTGTTATGCCTAAAGCAAGAAATAGTTAAACCTGACGTTTACAAGTTATAAACATGGAAAGACGAAAGAATAGAACCAAACCTAAATGATTATTAAGATGATGAGTTTGGAACAAATGACAAAAATGTAACATCGGAACACGATTTATAAAATTTTCATGAGAACTAATGTGTACCTGGGATTTGCAATCGAAAGACTATCTGGATATGTGTTCATTAATATTACTACAAAGCATTCTCCTACTCTAGCTCTAACTCTAATCTTCACCATCATTGTATTTGTTTTTAACAAATTATTTGTTTATGTCACCTAGATCCTGATTAGCTAATCATTTGCTTTGTCTTCTCAGGGTTATCTCGCAAATCACTGGAGGATATTGATAAGTTTACTTCCAATGTAGATAGTGCTCGTAACATTGATCTCCCTGCACCACTGAGAGCCAAAAAGAACTGGATAGTTGTTTTAGGTCCTAGTGTGGAACTCCTAAACTATTCCCACATCTATGATTTCACCAGAGGTCGGATCCAAAACCCATATATCTCACTGTAAATTCAATATTCAGACGATTCGTTGAGTTGGAATCCAGTGATACCATAGACAATAGGGATGATCGGACAATTAGCATACTGTATCTTGAATAAATTTAAGCTGTAAATGATAACCATTAAGTTGAAACTTAATGGTTTAAATACTAAACACGGTCACCGTGACATCTGAGTGTCGTTTGAGTTCGATTTCATGTGACGCGAAGTAATTTTTCATTTGTATTCTGTTCCATATGTTAAAACAAAGTGAATGGTTGAACCAAGACCCTGAATCAGTTCATGAAATCATTGACAATCGATCCGAGTCATTTTAATAGGTACAAACTACCTGGTTCGGGTTTACTTGATTACTGTAACCAATGGTCCAAGATTTTGGGTGATACGACTTAGAATTATTCTCAATGATGCAGGCGTATTTTAAAATCTGGGTCCCGAAGGCTCCTTATATCTTGTTTTCTTTTTCTATGTCTAATCTTTCCTGTCACCACTGATTCTATTACCACTTCTACTACATTGACTTTATTTTCCTTTTATGTTATATCACTCAACATTATTCATCTTGATAGCTTTGGGAATTATATAAAGAACGTCGATTAATTCGTAGTTATATGGGTCATCGTCAAGCTGTTCGTGATGTATCATTTAATAGTAATGGAACAGCATTTTTAAGTGCATCTTATGATCGTTATGTAAAATTATGGGATACAGAAATTGGTAAATGTACAAATCAATTCAATTTAAAACGTGTTGCTTATTGTGTACAATTTAATCCAGATGAAGATAAACAACATTTATTTTTAGTTGGTTGTGCTGATAAAAAAATATTATGTGTAAGTGGTATATCTTTTTTAAGATATATTAAACTTATTTATTATTTATTTATAAACACATAAACATTGGTACTAGGCACCAAATGTTGACGTGAGTGTTTGGAATAGGAATGCAGTGTTAATTTGCAGAGAGTGATTTTATTGCAATGTTGTTGAGAATGATCGGGCGACAGGCTATTGACTAGTGCTTAAAATTACCTGGCGCTGGGTTCTGGGTAATCAGGAATGCTGTGATCCCGGGTGGAGGCTCACCATTGCACCTCGGTGCACAAACCGAAACAGGTGGTTTTCTTAGGCGGCCACATCCGGAGCCTTCGATCTAATGGTCTGATCCACAAGGCAGTGAAGCATCGTAAGGAGATGCAGTTCCATGGTAGCCGGTGACCAACGATCAGTTCATATGCCATTTGTTCCCTCAGGATCCTGGAGTCCGTGTACACCATTGGTTTGTAATGAGGGTTTTCCAACTTCTCTAGGTGGATTCTCCATCTCCACCAACCTGGGTAAAGCGCTGGGCATCTACTTTTCATCCTCTCAATTTTGTAAACAACACCCCGTGGTGCGAGAAGCCAGTGAGTAGGATTTCCGTGGCAGTTGTTGAATGCGAATGATTATGTGAGAGCTAACTCTCCTCACTCACGGCCATACCAGGGCATTTGAGGGCCCTTTTGTTGTATGACTTTTCAGAAATCATTCTCCGACAGGAAGATTCATTTACTGAATACACAAATCACATTTTTATATTTGACGAAGACAAAACGCAGTTGCTCGATTGCTTTGAATTACAATAAAAGCCTGTTTATGAAGAGTTACACTCTCTCTGAGTGCTAAATGTTGCTTCAGAACTGGTTTACATTAGTACTTAAACTAATGATAGGGAGTAAAGTAGTTTAGTACCTAGAACATTTCGCTTATCTTGAAAGTCTTATCAGTCATGTTGCGTTGGGTTTTGACGAAATTTAGGAATGGATTCACAAAGTTCGTTTGGTTTTTACCAAATCGTGTTTCCAATGTCGTACGTGAGATGTTCATCCACCAACCAAAGGACTAGTGTACTGCCCAGATGTTCACTCCGGTTTACTTTAACAGTGTGAAACATATCCTTTAAAAATAGATGGCATCCGTGCTTCACCACTCGCAAATGTTGATCGCTCAGTGAACAGTGGCTAGATTGAATGTAGGCTACTAGGCTAACATGGTGAATTAGTTGATCATATGAATCTTCATCGACTGAGGTAGTTGAATCGTGTATTAGGTATGTTTAATGTAGGAACGGCCCCCGGTGAACTCAAAGAAGCTTTGAAATAGCTGAAGGCATTCCATCCAATCGTCTTTTGAAAGAATATTCCAGAATCTCGACGTACAGCTTCCCGATTGGACAGGTGCTAAAAACCAGTACATACTGATTGGATGAATGTAATGATGATTTCGTTTTTACTAAAAACTGAGTGTTTTGTAACATATTTGACACTGTTGGATTAAGGTTCATTCCTTCTAGTCTTCTGTCTTCTAAATTGCTACTTGGAATGTTCAAGCGTTCGAGTGCTAAAGTTGTACGCGTTATAGCGAGAAATACAAGTTATAGATAAAACACCCAACTATTGTCCACCTTAATGCTGCACAATGACGTCCAGTTCAGGATGAGATTGTATGAATGATAGAGTTCTCCCAAACCGAAACAAGGTACCAATCCACGAAAGTCAAACTGTTGGATGGAGCTGTTTTGGCAGGTTTAGACTATGTGGTTGGAGTTCACATGATTATCGTAATCAATTGTTGAAGATGTCATGCGACATGACTCAAAATCAATTATATTAGCTCAAAAACATTCACTCCTTACCGTATCTCAAATCTTTAGTTTCAAGAATTTATCTTCGGTGTTCTTCGAATTATATTGTCTATGCTCAATCGGCGAGACTATAATTCATGGACTAACCAGTCAGGTTTAGGATAACGGATCTTGGATTTTGTCACGAAATTCACTCACTTATTTGTCTAAATAGCGTTTTGAAATTTTAGCTGATTTCAATTCGTGATGAAAACCCTAAATGTAATTCCTAACCTTAACCATCACTGAAAATCATAATCTTAATTCCTCACACTGATCTATAACCCTGATTTAACCCCAGTAAGTGAGTGAATATTCTCAAGGTAACTTTAGCGTCACTCAAAAGTTGTCCGTAAGCTATAACCTATAGTGTTTCCCATAACCATTATGTATACATTATATGGTGTTGCAACTACAACCTATGCGGATATGTATCAGGTTTCACATAGCTTATGAAAGACTTTGTGTTAGCTAGTATAGTACACTGAAAAGGAGTATTTGTTTATACATCAGCAATAATTTTATCCAATAAGGGTTGTATGTTGTTTTCATAGTAATTGCATTTTATTAACAAGCCTTTTCGTTTACTATTATTTTTTTTAACTCCTTGTTATCTTTTCTACACACATAAATACATTTACACATATTAACAAACAAACGCCCCCCTCACAAACAACAGTATGATACGCGTAGTGGTGAAGTTGTCCAACAGTATGATCGTCATTTAGGTGCTGTCAATGCTGTTGCATTCGTGGATAATAATAGAAGATTCGTTTCAACATCCGATGATAAATCGTTACGTGTATGGGAATGGGATATTCCAGTGGATTTTAAATATCTTGCTGATCCGTCTTTACATTCAATGCCAGCGGTTAGTGTTTCACCGAATGGTATGTATGTATATTTATGTATATATCCTGCTTACTTATGATGTATGTTTATCGTTAATTTCATTGGAACGTCGGTGAGTTTATAATTTATGGACGGCCTTTAAGTGGCACTAAAGTGACCTTGAGAGTGTCCACCTAATAACTAGGACCAAATGAGGGTTGTAAAGCAATGTAAGGAATTAGATTTAGGGTTTTCTTCACTAACTGACATCAGTTATAATGCCAAAACTCTCTATGGATGAGTGAATATCACGCCAAAATCCGAAACCTGTTATTTTATACATGATTGGTTCGTCCATAAATCATAGTCTCACCGAAACGTCTAACTACACATTGAGATATGCGTGGAATCGATGTTCTAAACAATGATATTTCTAGAGGATGTTCGTATTAATATATAATATATGTGAACCAGTCGCAAACCTCAACTCATAAGGTATTTGTAGTAATTAACTTGTCTGTATGTTTGAAAAGACAAAGACTTCACTAGCGTAAATGACAGTCGGTAGGTAGTTGTATCTAAAGTGGATTATGACTATTAACAGTCAAAATAGGAACTAAGAGTACACAAGTATGGAATCTGTCGTGTTTAAATAAAGATTCAAGAAATGTACAAAACTGAAAATAACTGTTTCATAGGTTAAGCGAAATTAATATTTCTTTTTGGTTTATCTAAATATTGAAGATTATTACACAATAAACAAACGTACATTACATCATACGTTCAAAAATGTAAACGGTCACTGAATATTAATAAGTAGTACAAAATTACACAAAAAAAGTGAGTTGAATAAAAGAAGAATAAAGATAATGCAAACAAAATTAATGGAGATATCTATGAAATGAGGAGTAATTTGCTTTTCGTGTTACTGTGCGCGTCGGCTAAAGCAAGATATAATATCAGTTTGTGAAGTCATTAATTATCAGTATGCGATTGTAAAGACTGTTGAATCTTATTGATATCATTAATCTATCTAAGCTAGACAATTATTGTAAACTCGAGACCACTAGACAGATGTATGCCCACTGGTGATTAGCTTCGAGAGGAGATTCCTCAGGTTTTGGTTAGAAGCCATGACCAGTGGAGTTCTATTACATCGCGTTCGAGGAAGGTATCCATTGAAGACAATGGAGGATGGTTGCGCAATATCATGGGTTGATTGAAGTTAGAATTTCACAATGTTTGGTCTCAGATTAATAGTATACACCACACAGACACTACTTGGTTGGGATCTGTGAAATTAGCACAGTCGGTAATTTGCAGGTGTCGGGTGGTATGACTCCAAATCGGGTACGGTTGCAGAGATGCATTCACATTTTGTCTCTCCTTAAGTTCCCTGTTTCTTACTTTACACTATTCAAACTCGCCTATAGTGTTCAGTCTTTCTGAATATTATTGATAGTATAATCATTTGAACTCCTTTGCTACTAATCAGTGTTAGTGTCTTCTTTTGTCTTGTGTGGTATGGTAACTTAACTGACTCAGAGATATACCAGGCTTCATGGTGGTGAATTAGTGGTTGACTGTTTTCAATGGGAACCTACACATGCTGTTAATTTGAAATCAGGATTTACAAACCCCCCTGAATGGTTCGTTTGTATTTCTTAACCCAATTTAAGTCCCAGATATCTGCTTTCTATTCTCTCATTTTCATAAAACATTTCCTTGACGTGAAGCCGTTGAGTAGGTTTTCATTGACAGATACTATCGACTTACGGCTGTATGACAGAGGACTGTTTTCACTTTCTCCCATTCCAAAGTATTTCTTTTCATTAATCCTGATGTACTCAAAGAAGAAGATTTATTTATCTTGTCAAAGAAGATTGATTAAGTAAACAGTATTTGAAGGTATCTTACTGAGAATTTATTTATCTATTTTGACACATAGATATTGGTACAAGGAGGCACCAAATACATATGCGCCACACAAATCTCATTTGATATGTGTGAGGGCTGTGATACTGCCCGGGTGTTTGAGTATTTGGAAATTTCGGTTGATAATGTAAGGATCAATGTTAAAAGAGGGTAATCCATCCATCCATCCATCCAACTAACTAACTATTTATTTACAAAGATTACGTAATACACATAAATTTCATTACTTTAGCCGTTCAATCTGTTGTCATTCTTGTTTTAGTTTTCAAATCATAATTCTTTTCTTTAATTATTTTTCATAGGGAAATATTTAATTTGTCAATCTCTTGATAATCAATTAGTTGTATTTAATATATTTGCTGGTTTTAAACGTATGCGTAAAAAAATATTTCGTGGTCATATGGTGTCAGGTTATGCATGTACTGTAGATATGTCACCAGATATGCGTTATGTAATCTCTGGTGATGGTGATGGTTATTTATGTTTATGGGAATGGAAAACAACTAGATTATTAACAAAATGGAAAGCACATGATGGTGTATGTATTAATTGTGCATGGTTACCACATGAAACATCGAAAGTAATCACTGCCGGTTGGGATGGGAATATACGTCTTTGGGATTAATTTCCTTTGCATATACAAGAAAAAAGAAACAGTATAGTATTTCATACTATCATTTATATTTTTCTACAGAATTAATATCAGATTATATTACCATTCCAATGTGTACATATTTCTTTTCCCTTGATATATCAGTAATAAATGTCTTTAACTCAAATGACTTCATTTTTTGTTTGAGAGTTCTTTTTCAACAAAACAATGTGATTACTTGATTGTGACCGATGATATACTTGTTTAATCCTTAGTCCTAATCAAACCTTAATAATTGGTGATCACTAGTAGAAGTGACTATGGACATTATTCGATGTTATATTGGGTTGGAAGGGAAACCGAAATAAAATCTCTTGACCAAATGGTAATTTCTGTGGTCATAATGCTTTATGATGTCCGTCTGGTTTCATGAGAAACACCACTTCCCTCATAAATCTCTAGATTTGTCTTTTAGGCATGTTACATTGGTTGGTCACCTTCAATTGTTTAACATCGAACCTATGGGTTGCATCGCAATGTCGTGTTTTCTTGCTAGTCATAGATGTTTCTTTGTTCAAGTAAATGGCTCTTTAAATTGAACTGTTATGCGTTATTGATTTAACAGAATAAGTTAAAGATTACACTTAAAGTGTAGCAGACATTTGAGTACATTTATCTGCATGTGGTTCCTGCATTGCTAGCCATGTATGAAGCCTAAAAATTAAGTCGAACAGTTCGAACTACTTATAAAGATGATAAGTAGGCTAACACAAAAAATCAATTTACACGGAATGTTTGATCGCTCGATATCTATTTATTTCGCAAATCCAACAAATTTGTTGTCCTCGGAGAGCTTAGAATAATTTTCCATTTATAGTATAGATCACAGACTAATTCTACGTTGATAATCATTAAAAACCAGTGGACATTGTATAGTTGTTTCTAACACAAAACTTGAGCAATCCTCACCTATTATTGTACCAGGAATCAAACCCAGGACTTTCAGGCCTTCTTGACTTCTAAATCCTTTACTGATCAACTGAAAATAAGGATGACTAATTGTACAAGTAATTTCCGTGGGAAAATATTTATGTAATCTTTTTTGTATTTGGGTTAAAATTAGCTTGTTAAAATGTCAAACAGTGGAGAAATGTCCTTAATGGTGACAGAACTGTATTTCTAGACAGCTGTTTTGTCGCGATTTAAGACTTCGAATGATATCACCCATTAGTAATTTTGCATGATTTAGAATCTTTCGCTTTCAAGTCTTACTCTGACGATGATTACATTCAATGCTTTTGTATACATCCAGTTGTTCATATGATCTCACTATCATTCAATGTCCATTATATGTCACGGTCCTGGTTCTGTATTGTACATAAGATACTGTCTCATTCTCTTGCCTTTTTAAACTTAGAAAGTCTCTATTTCCTATAAGATTTCCTGGAAATATATTTCTGACCTTCCATTGTTTTCGAATTGATATCGTTGTATTACATAAAGTCTATCTTCAATTGAGTGGTCATTTGGTATCTGGCTATAGACTTCAAAGTAAGTTTTTACTGTAGAGGTTCGATCCTATCAAGTATGAAACATCTAATGATTATAGAATAAGTTTTCAGACTGACTGAGTTTGGAGACTTGACCCTTTGGTTTCCAAGTTAGTGGTTGCTAGAGATGAATATTTTGAGTTAGATCCTTGACATGGTCACTGTGTTTTACTAATGAACAATCGCAATCTAAGATTAAACAACTTTGTCAGTCAGTCAGCTACAACGTAGGACCAGGCACATGTATGCATCGGCCCAGGTTGCCATACCTCATTAGCACAGCAAGATGAACACCGGATTCATAGGAGTGGTTAGGTCAAAGGTGGTAATATATAGGAGAAAGATTGCAATAAGGATATAGTATAGGAAGAAAGAATTAGTTCGTAGAAAGAAAGATATGAAGTGATTTTAATCTCTTAGTTTAAGAGAAGACAGAGAGTGTATACACCGACGCCATTGTGATCGATTCTGAGCCATGTCACCAAGGGTCTCCAACCATTGGTTACGAAAGTCACGCGGACCCCAACCAAGTAGTCTGCATCTACCAACATGGCTCAGACTAGAAGTTAGTGACTTCAGGCACTGATGCCACGTTTTGGTTTGGCCGCCCCTAACTTTCTTCCAACCATCCCCTACACCGGTTAGCATTGCACGTCGCGGTAATCGGTGTTCAGGCATACGTAATACGTGGCCCAACCATCTCAGTCGATGAAGATTCATAACCTCATCAACTGATTTACCATCATTCCCTAATACCCTGCGTCTAACCTCACTATTACTTACCCGGTGATCCCAGCAGATGCCAGCAATATTTCTAAGGCATCTGTGGTCAAATACTAGTAGCTTACGGGTGTCTTCTACTCTTAAAGGCCATGTTTCGCTGCCGTAAATTAAAACAGAACGGACTGCCGCGCAGTATACTCGTCCTTTTATTGATAGACGGATATCTCGCCTCCGCCAAAGGTGACGTAAGTTGGCAAAAGCCAAACGAGCTTTACGAATCCGTGCTGAGATTTCGTCAGACACCAACCCATTAGGGCTGATCAGACTTCCAAGATAAGTGAAGTTGTCAACGCGTTCGACTACTTCACTCCCTATCCTTAGTTCAGGTGTTGACGCAGACCAGTCCTGAAGCAACAACTTGCATTTAGAGGGAGAGAAGCGCATCCCAAACATTCTGGCATTGTTGCTTAGTGCTACCAGAAGACTCTGCATTTTGTCAGCGTCTTCACCAAACAGGACTATGTCATCTGCATATTCTAAGTCGATAAGTGGACCTCCTGGAAGGAGATCAATACCCGAGAATTCAGTCGACGAGAGTGTTATTTCCATCAATAGGTCTATGATGAAGTTAAACAAAAATGGAGAAAGTGGGCAGCCTTGACGGACACCACTTGAGGTTGCAAAAGTAGATGACAGTTCGCCATAAGCCCTGACTCGACTAGTAGTGTTCGAGTAAAGAGCCTTCACAAGGTTTATGTACTTCTGAGGTACGCCTTTCAATGACAGACACTGCCACAGAGTCTCGCGGTCTACAGAGTCAAATGCTGCTTTTAAGTCAAGAAAGACCACCATCGTCGGACGCCGATAGGTATGCCTGTGTTCTAGAACCTGACGAATGGTGAATATGTGGTCGATGCAGCCACGACCAGGTCTAAAGCCAGCTTGGTTCTCTCGTGTTTGTAGTTCACGAGTCTTAGTTAGGCGTTTGATAATTATCGAGGCCAGTATTTTAGATACTATGTTTGTTAAACTAATCCCTCTGTGGTTGTCACAGGATGATTTTGACCCTTTCTTATATATTGGGACGATAAGTGATTGCGACCAGTCAGATGGGATAACGTCTAACTCCCAGATCTTAGCTAAAATATTAGTCAACCTAATCGCTAAAATTGGACCACCATCCTTAAAGACCTCTGGAGCCAATCCATCTGGACCAGCTGCCCTTCCTCGTTTCAGATTAACTATAGCCTTCTCAACTTCAGCAAGAGTTGGGGGACCTACTTCAATGTTCCATTCACACTGTCTGGGAATGGAGGGTAGTTGTAGAGTAGCTGAAGGCCAGCTGAACTGTTCTCTAAAATGTTCCGCCCATCGTTCTAAACGTCTGGACTGGGAGCAGATGAGAGTATCATCTTTTTCCGAAATAATCTCACTTACACTTGACTTATTAATTCCAGTTTCTTTTATTAGTCTGTAAAGCTGTCTTGTGTTCCCTATAGTCGCCGCCTTTTCCATCTCTTTTGCTTTCGTTACCCACCACTGCTCACGGTCGTTCCTTAGACTTTTTCTTAACCTAGATCTGATTTGTTTACGCTCTTCATCATGTTCAGAACCTGATGGGACGAGTTTGCGAGAATCCATCAGTGTGACAGACCTTGAAGAAATCCACTGGTTCCTTGTAACTCTGTGGTTTAAGTCACTAATAGATGTCACTGCTGTTTCCACAGCTGCTTGTATGCCTTCCAAGCAACATCTGGGTCAGCCTCGTCTTCACAACTACCTAAGTGTGACCTCAGTTGTTCCTGGAACCTACTTTTGGTTTTCTCGTTACTCAACTCAGTTCTAACGGGTCTTTTTAATGTGGCTTTTTTGCGTCCAGTGAGGCGCAAGCAGATGCGTGCCCGTATTAGGGCATGGTCGGAGTCCAAGCAGGTACTCCAGAATGAGCGACAATCTTCTACCGACCCTCTCCAACGATGACTGATGGCAATATGGTCTATTTGAGTCCATCGTTGGTTTGGTGTAGGGGGTCGCCATGTTAGACGATGTCTCTCCTTATGCTTAAAATTTGTGTTTGCTAAAAATAAACGATTGTCTGAGCATAGCTGCAGCAGACGATCACCATTATCTGTTCGCTGTGTCGGAATACTAAAATATCCACCTAAATGCCTTTCTGTTTGGTTTAAACTGCCTATCTGAGCATTAAAATCACCTGCTACGAGTACTATGTCTGAGCGTTTAGCTTTCTGAAGAAGTTCGGATAGCTTTCTGTAAAATTCATCTTTCACTTCATCTGAGCTGCAGTCAGTGGGAGCGTAGGCAGAAACGACAAAAAGGCAACGACGTGTGTCCCTATCCTTCCGAGTTCTTACGTAGCCGTTCAGCCGAACAGCACATAGACGACTGTTGACGGGGATCCACTCTAGCAGTGCTTGTTCGGCCCTCATGCTTAGTGCTATGCCAACTTTGTAATGCTGTATAGTTCCAATGGTTCTTCAGATTATGTCGATTCATGACGAAAATAATCATTTTCGAACCACGAGAAACGTACTATGATTTTGAGATTGTGACGAAGATTTTCAGCTCAGGTGAATGATTTTGATAGTTTTTTTCTCTGAGCTGGATGATTTGGTCGTGGAGCTTTCATCGTTCTTCTGCAGGACATCACCACAAATGTCACGTAGAACAATACATTTAATTTGAATAGAGAAGATAAAATACATAAAAGTGACAACGCTTGGAAGGCTGAACCATGCCATC